GTGACACACACACACACACTACCTTCATTTGGAGGCAAATTTAAAGCACACACACACAGAAAGAGAGCGAGCGAGAGGGAGATAGAGAGACTACATCTTTCTATACACGTTCTCACAGACATAACCAAGTCAAGAAATTACAGTGAACAGGTTGTCTGATTATGTTTCTAGTACACTAAACACAGCCTTAATGTTACCCACACATGCCCACACACACACACCCACACATGCACCCACTTTTTAATTCCAGCATGACAGAGTTTATGAGTCTGTGTCTTGATGGGAAATGTGACTGCTACACAAACAAACTGAACAGCCTCAGACAGACAACTCTGAGGGAGGGAGGGAGGGAGGGAGGGTGAGAGAGTTGTTTTTTCCAACTCACATACTGTATGCTTGCAGACATAGGCTAATATATGTACACAGAGCGTGGCTGCACTTGAGTGACCAGAGAAAATAAAGTCTGTTCTTCACCACGAGGGACCAAATGTGCTGTGCTAACTCCTTTACAGGGCGTCTGGGCATGAGCTCCATTTATACACCAATGCCTGCAAGAACCAACCTCTGAGCTCCGTCTGCTCCGCAGCTAATATATTGATGTTTAATGGATGCTGAATCACTTGATCCACACTGCAGCCCTGCGGTAACGCACGCACAGCATGGCAGCAGAACGACGCCTCACCTCAACTCAACTCAACCTGAAGTAAATATTTCAGTTGAAGACAATAAAGACAACAACTGACTCCTCAGATTAAACTTTCTTTTCTTTTTTTTTAAGTACAAAATGCTTCTAATCTTCATCATATTTGATAGTTACTCATAACACAAACTCAGGAATTATGTTTCTAACAGGACTTTGTGAAATCTCTCTTGTTTTTTTTTTCCACCTAATAGCATAATTAGCATGTTAGCATTACAGTTAACGGACGTTTCCAACCACTGCTGTGAAGAGTGGTCAATAAATGGATACAGTTCATGCTTCAGAACCAGCGTTGGAGTAAATAGTTGATAATGCTAAAAAATACTTTAAAGAATCCCATTTAAAATGCATTAAACACACAAACACTATGTGACACAGATACACACACTAGAACACACACACTGAGAGGAAGCGCCATCATTTCCTGTGGAGGATATAAAGTGTTTTTTTAAATTATCTGCCCAGTAAATAAGTTCAATTTATGCTTTAATTTCCTCACAAAACACGTTCACTCCCCCCCCGCTTTTTTTTTAAGTACAAAATGCTTCTAAACTTATCATATTTGATAGTTACTCATAACACAAACTCAGGAATTATGTTTCCAACAGGACTTTGTGAAATCTCTTCTCAGCTGTGAGAATTTAAGTTGGGGTTTTTTTTCCACCTAATAGCATAATTAGCATGTTAGCATTGCAGTTAACGGACGTTTCCAACCACTGCTGTGAAGAGTGGTCAATAAATGGATACAGTTCATGCTTCAGAACCAGCGTTGGAGTAAATAGTTGATAATGCTAATCTCTGTAGCTGCAGTGGGAAAAAAAACAAAAAAAAAATACTTTAAAGAATCCCATTTAAAATGCATTAAACACACAAACACTATGTGACACAGATACACACACTAGAACACACACACACTGAGAGGAAGCGCCATCATTTCCTGTGGAGGATATAAAGTGTTTTTTTAAATTATCTGCCCAGTAAATAAGTTCAATTTATGCTTTAATTTCCTCACAAAACACGTTCACTCCCCCCCCGACACTCAGACAGAATGCAAAATGCAGACACACACACACACACAGATTAAAGAGTGGAACGGGCATGTGTGTGTGTGTGTGTAGATGCTTATGTGCACGAACACACATGAGCGTAGAAGGTAAATAAGACAAAATAAGGAATAAATTATGGATCATACAGCTGTGTGTGTGTGTGTCTGTGTATCCTTTAAACATAATTAGCTCCGTCAGGCAGAAATGTAAACGAGAGAAACTTAATGAAATTCTTCTCTGATCTGCTGAAAGCACACATTCTCTTTTTATCGTTTTCCTCCGTCTCCTCTGTCCGTCTGTCTGTCTGTCTGTCTCTCTGTCTGTCTCTCTGTTTGTCTGTCTCTGTCTGTCTGTCTCTGTTTGTCTGTCTGTCTGTCTGTCCGTCCGTCTGTCTGTCTCTCAGTTTGTCTGTCTGTCTGTCTCTCAGTTTGTCTGTCTGTCTCTGGACTGAAATGAAATTGAATGCCACGCACGGTGCATTTAAAACCGCCGCGGGTTCACATTTCAGCAGCCCATTATGACCACATAAGATGAAGACAATTATATCATGTTTGTAAGGTCACTGCCACAGTTTCTTGCCCGCTGCCTGCCGGCTGTCCATTTGTCTCTTCCTTTGGGCCGTCCTTGAGGTAGATAACCCCTCGAAAACAATCTGGGATTTATTAGACCAGCTGAATTTCTGCGGCTGATTCACATGTTTGAGTGCACTCGCATGTGTGCGTTCACATATGTTTGGCTCGGAGACGGGCACTTCTCGGCCCCGCTTAATTTGAAAAACCACCATTACTCAAAGTCTGTCTCGTTCCATTTATAAACTAAAATGTCAACCCAGCTTTTACTTTAATTTCATCTGCCAACCGCTTTTCCTTTTTTTTTTCTTTTTTTTTTTTTTTTTTTTTGTTCAATCCATGTCTATCCGACTACAGTCAGTCAAAAGAGCCAGAATAAGAAAAGAAATTCTCAAAATGAGAAAAGATTTTTTTTTTTTTTTTTTGCTAATAAAGTTTCTATACAGAGTGAATCCACTGGTGGAGGTGGGTTTGAAAAAAAAAAAAATACTAAGAACTTTGTGCTCTCTGTGTGAACGTATTTACACCTGTGGTCTGTATGGATCCCTGTGTGTCAGGTGAGCTGTCCTTTAATAAACAGACAGAGGGGAGAGAAGAGAGAGAGATTTGTGGAAATAAAGAGAGGGAGAAGATGGACAAACACACATGGAGGTAATATGGGACCTGAATCAGTTGAATATTTGCACAAAATATTGTTCTCAGTCACACCATAGGTCCTTATTTGGGTGAGATGGACTTTGATGATTGATTAAACTTGGAAACTATGGAATACAGTTCTGGTTTCAGGAGCCTTTGAATAGATATTTTTTAAAAAAATCAACAGAAACAAACTGATTATCTCTTAAAGAAAGAAAAGTATTCCTTCAAGTAGATTTAAAAGACACAGTAAGTGAAGGGGTGTAACCTTTAATATTAATGTGACCCCTCCTCCTCCTCCCCCCTTCACTGAATCTCAGTTTCTCTCACGCTTTCTCTCCGTCTGTTTCACTGACTCTCTCTCAGACACACACACACACACTCACACACACTGCCCCACACACACACCAGAGTAAAACTCTTACTGCTCCACCCTGTTAGGTCTGCCAAGTTACTGCCAATACCTCACACACACACACACACACACACACACCAACTAAGAGCTTGTTCTGGGAAACTCTCAGTTCTAAGCCAACTAACGTGTACCTATACTTACTTCCTAGTATTAACTAATACTACTGCCATGTCAACAAACACTCTCTCTCTCTCACACACACACACACACACACGGACACACACCCCAGACTCTATTCTGATCTAATGCGATCAACGCCAATAAGTCGTGTGGAGCTGGAAAACCACGCTCTGTTTCCTTCCAGTCCATGACATCACTGGGAAGCCAAAGCATCGTGGGCCACACTGCAGGGCGAGGGAGCCGGCTGACAGGTGGTAACCATGGAAACCCTCCGTTTGCCTCTCGGTCGCCAAAGCACAGCGAGTTTCCTAAAGTGTCGCGAGTTAAAATACCATCATCGTAAAACGAATGTGACTTACGGCAAGGACAATTATGTCGAGGAATCATTTGCACATGGAGAAATGTTCAAACAGATATGGAGCGACACACACACACACACACACACACAGATGTGCTTGTACACACTTTGTTAGCCAACAAAAATCTACACAAGTGCTTGGGATGTGATTGAAGGAGTGCAGATGTCAACACGCTGCTCCCTACATGTGCTGTGCATGTGATCCTGCTGTAAGGAGTATTAATAGAACTCTCCTGAATATTCTCCTTCTCCGCAGACAGTACCAGGGTACTACGGTCTACACAGAACTGTAAAAGACATTACAGCTGGTACAAACTGCAGTAAAAACTACCATCTGTGGTTAATTGCCAATGCCTTGAAACCTTAAGTTGCTGTATCAAGCAATTTCATCACTTAAATAATTCCTGACCAACTCCTCACCACAAGGTCAGAGTTTTTCTTTTTTCTTTTTTTTCATGATTACATATGTAAATGATTTGGGCACTGAATACACTATTTATTGCAGTTTAGTAAGTGGAATTCTTACTGAATAGAATACTCCAGCACTTGAAGGAGTAGTTCTTCATCACTCCTGTCTGACACTCCTCTTCATGACAAAGTAGATATTAGTATGAGGAGACAGGTCTCTGTCACCAAGGACCATTACTTTAACTTCATGAAGACATGAGTCGGTTATTTTCTTCCTTTAACACTGTTTCAAATGAAGTATTGCCTCAAGGTTGAGGTTCATATTAATTCTCTCTGGTTTATCAACGGAATGAAAGTTTCAGACTTTGACGCAGAGGTGGTTGTTTGCGAACACTAAGCCTTTGGTCGATGCTCTTTTATGCTGCAAAAGTAACAGAATTGGACTTGGATGTTCTGAGTTTCAGACTCATCTGAAGAGTGGAGTCTTTGAGGACGGTCGCACACATCATTTCTAAAATTTAAAGTTTTAAAGTCTAAACACTCTTTTTGCTAATAATCAAACAGGATTTGAGTCTAAACACTTATTATTATTCGTCTCTGCCTTTTTGCTAATAATCAAACAGGATTTGCGTCTAAACACTTACTATTATTCGTCTCTGTCTTTTTGCTAATAATCAAACCAGATTTGTCAGTTTAAACATCTTGTTCTTCTGGGCCTGTGGTTTGTAGAACAGAGTTCAGTACTCACCCGTAGCAAAGACTGAGACTCCTCCTTAGCAGCTCCTCCTTTCCCCTCTTGCCCTCCACCGTTTCCTCCTCCTCCACTTCCTGTGTACTGCTGAGGGGTCATGGGGCTCTGCTTCTCCACTCCACCTGCAGCGCCTCCTCCTCCCCCACCTCCCGCCGCAGGCCTCCCTCCTCCATAAAGTTTGTCTCCAAGGAACGACTTGGTGTCTCCCAGAAATGTCTTGGTGTCTCCCAGGTAAACCATGCCTGGAGACGCGACCCCTCTTTTCTGCTGGGAGGCCTCGTGATTGGCAGAAACAAAGGACAGAGGGATAGGGGACGAAAAGAGTGAGGGGCTCCCACCTCCCGTTCTGTCCACTCCTCTCTCGGGGACCATTCGCTCTTTGGGCACCCAGAGTAAACCGTGGGCCTGCTCACCTCCTCTCTCACCCATCCCCCTCGTCTCCCTCAGCACCCAGGCTTTCTCCCGCTCTCTTTCTCTCTCCTCGACTCCCTCACTTTTCACAACTCCTCCCGCCTCGTCTCTGCCGCCTTCTGCCAAGCGTCCCTCAGGCGGTGCGAGGGAGTAGAGGAGGCGAAGGTCTCCCTTGCTCTCTTCTTTAATGGCTAATGTGGAGGGAGCTGAGCAGCCATTGGCTGACAGCGTTAATGAAGGTGTCAGTGAGGTTGACAGGGCGGTGGGTAAGGAGGTTGTTGTCAACGGGCCTAATGAGGGAGAGGAGTCATGACAGTGGACGGAGTTAAAATGGTCGAGGAGGGCGGATGAGTCAGGAGCTGTGAAATCACAGCGGCGACAGCGGTAGCATGCGTGGACACGTCTGCAAGGAAAAAGAAAGAAAAAAAAAACAGCCGTTAGTTAATAAAGTACATTAGTAGATAAAAGTAAATGAACTCAGTAAACAGAAGGAAGTTCAACTGTTTTAAATGCACTGAGTTTGACTGAACACCACAGTGGTGAACAGCCTTAAATACATTTATTTAAAAAAAAAAAAGAAAACTTTTTATTAATGACATTATAAAGAAAATCCACTCTCTGAATTGACCAACTTTAAAGTGCGTTAGTCCAGCCTGCATTCCTCCAACCACTCAGGTAATATTTCACGGAGCCTGCAGCCAAAGAAGTGACTGTGTGTTCCATTAAATCACAGTGAATTAGGACGAAAACTGTGAGGAAAGTTAAATGAGTCTGAAAGATGAGAAATAAATCAAGCATCAACCAACCACCTACAAATCCACTTGGCACGACCCTGAATGACCAGGAGTGTAAACAAGACACAGAATGTACTGGTGCTTTTGGTTCAAGGCAAACAGGAAACAGAACCATCAACCAGGGATTATCTTCAGTTTGGCACAGAAGTACAAAAGGAGTGTGGTCAACGTGGTTATATTTAGTATTGATGGGATATCAATATGTGGCCTGTGTCTTCCATTGTCTGTCAGTGGGTTCATTAATTTATAAAACATATTTTTTAAAATGCTTCAGCTGACACAGGTTTAGGCTCCTTATTCCTAAAATGCTTCAGCTGACACAGGTTTAGATTTGTTAAGCCTGTGTTAATCAGATCTGATCAGATCAGGCCTCAGTGTCTCAGGGAAAACTTCAGCCTGGGTGTTTTTACCAAGTCAGGGAACAGGAGTGGGAGGAGTGCAGCTCTCACTCTGATGATAATCCCTAAGAATCACTTAATAAAAACACAGACTGCTTGACATATCTGCAGAAGAGCAAACATGTCTGACAGCTCTTTGGACACTTTGACATTTTTATCTCATCACGTAGGCAAACATTAAAGTCATGGGTTTTTTTTTTTTTCAGAAAAGTTGATTCTGTGAGGGCTTGAGGTTTAAAAGTTTAAAAATTTCTCAGCTACTGTCAGGCTTGATGCGCCTCCATGTAAAAATGTATGAGGAGCATTTCACTCCTGTCCTGCTCACACGTGATTTAAACACAGAGGAGTCGTCAACGTCAGAGAGTTCACTGAGCCTAGAAGTCATGACATGAGTGGGTGTGTCGTTAAGATCAAGACCTCAATCATTAACTTAACGTAAGGTGACGCTAGGAATAGGAATAGACAAAAGAACGTTTTTTACTTTATATACCGTATAACTATATAAGTATACAAACATACTCATATATATGTATATATAGATGTATATGTAATATATACACATATATCAGGGGACGATGGGTTTGTAAAATGACGAGAGCTACAAAGAAATATGAAGTTTCCACCTGTCTCACTTCTCATTTCTTTATGATGTGTTTGTTTGTTTGTCATCTCCTTTGTGAATTCTCCTTGACCTCTCTGTGACCTTGCTTAACAGCCCCTGAGACTAGCATGTGTATTCACTTTGAAAAATATGGGAGTTTTTTTTTTTTCCACTCCTATCTGAATTTCATACAGTGTCTCCGAGTATATAAGGTTGCATCTCACCATAAATCTCTGAGGAGAAGTCACCTGGCTTCAGGACACCACAGTATTGGACATTAATCTAACATCTAGATATAAATTATATGAGAGGAATGTGTTTCATCTCAAACAGCATGAAAAAGTAGAATTAGAAAGAAATGTCTCCCCCAGACCTCCATCACCTGCTTCTAATCGCAGCTTCAGGCTGAAGGTAAATTGACCGCTCACAGCAAAGTGAAAAAAAATAATAATAAAAAGTGTGTGTGATTTAGCCTCACTCTAAAAGATGTAGGTGCTAAAAATTGGCCGAAAGGATGAATAGATTATCATTAATTGCAATCATGACCTCACTGGATTGAAATAAAATTTTAAAAAGAAGCGACTGTAAGTGATGGGAAATTCACAGAGTCCTTTTTTTTTTTTTTTTTTTTACATTTGCATGAAACAGACTTCATTCCTGGACTGGATTAAGTCCTCTGCTAATTCAGCAGGTGGAGGGACGTTGTGCTGATCTTGGGCTAAATAAATTGAAAACTCTCATTTCCCCCTAAGCTTCATAGCAGTCATATCAGGAACATATTCAACTCTGAACATGGCAGTCGGTGCTAATATAAATCCCAGAGTGAACCGGCCAAAACGAGATCCAGGGACCAGTCTTTGACTATTTTCCCTGTGAAGCCGTAAGCTGCCAGCTTTGGATGTCTACAGTAAATGAAGCCAACGAGGGCTTCAATTATTTAATGGGTCGCTGCTGTAAAATTAGTGTGGCCAGTCATCATTTCCTGGATTAGTGAGCAACAAAAAATGAATTATAGGGGAGGGGTTTCATCCCCAAAACATGAGCAATATCCTTCAAATTTGTAACATTTCTCCATTAAAAAGGGGGAACATTTTCTCACAGTCACAGCAGTGTTGGAGCACTCAGTGACTCCGACTGTAAAACCGACTCTTTGGAACGTCACATGATGTCACTGACCAACTTCCTGGCACAAAATCACTTATGGAACAAAAACAAAAAAAACAAACCGATGATCTAGATTGGCCAACTGAAAACACAGGATCACATTACTCTCCTCACTGATTCACTGCTGCTTCAAAGAAGCAGACCTCTGTGTACCATTAATCCTTCGATCCTCTGATGTAACGAGAGGCCGCACTCCTCACCTGTAGTGTCTGAAGATCTCTTCTTCCACTTCGGTGATGAAATGACACTTGGTACATGAGAACTCCCTCTCGCCTCCTGCTCCTCCTTTATTACTGCCCTCCTTATTGGTCCCAACGTCCTCCTCAGCCTTAACATGTTGGTGCGCCCCCTTTAGGTTGATGAGGGTGTGGCAGGCTTCGTAGTGTTGCAGCAACACGTCGATGTCGGTGGTGGCAAACGCACACTGGTCACACAAGTGAGTGACGCCTACACGTGGGACATGATTGGACGTTAGGACAACAGGGAAGAGGGGAAAAGAAAATGCATCAGTGAGATGATGTGTACTGTGGACACACTCGTAGGACAACACAGTTATTACACAAAGAAATTGAAAAATAAAAACTTTTATATTTAATAAACTGTTACTTTTCCTTTGACTCAGACCTTCTGCAAAACCCATGGCCTCAAACAACCAATTGTATTTTTTATTTTTTTTACTCCAAATAAGCCTGGTTGAGTAAATACTGGTGTCGGAGTAACACAATAACCTTTGCTGAAAAATAGCACCTGGGGTGACAAATGGAAAAAGAACTGAGTTAGAGCAGTGAAATGTAGAGGCAGATTTCACACCTGGGTCACCTCTGGGATTTGGAGGAGTCATACTGGGTGAGGTGGAGGTGGAGGAGGAGGAGGCCGGTTTCAGAGCAGCTGTGTCCGGCTGCTTGGTGGTTTGGGAGAACTTCGAACAGCATTTGGAACAGGTGGGTTTCCGACAGGCAAAAGGGTGGGAAACCTGATGAGCAGATCGTAAGGTGATGAGTAAAAAAAACAATATTGAAAATAACCACAACAATATTATTAATAATAATAATAAGAAGAAGAAGAAGAACAAGAAGAAGAAAAGGGATGGAGGGAAGGATGAGGCAAGAATAAGAGAAAAAGTAACAAAATAAATAAGAAAAAATACAAAATCTAGGTCAAATAAAAAGAAGGATAACATTTAAGTGAGTTTGTTGTGCTGTACATTTTCATAACATTGCTGCAATGTAACATTTTTTTTGTTCATTTGTTAAAAAAAAAGATATATCAAAGAGCTAAGTCCTGGCCGTAGGACGCCACCTTCAGTTTTGGCACTTTATGAAAAGCTGCAGCAGAAGGAGGAGGCTGTGTTTGGCAGCAGGTATAAATGAGTTTGGGGAGCAAGGGTGGGTGGGTGGACTGGAGGGAAGCAAAGGGAATTTAACTGGGCTGTAAATTGGAGCAATTACCTTTTTACTTGTTCCTATATTATATTTTACTTCTTCTCGTGCTCTAAAGAACAGCCGCCCTGTCCTGGGTGCCAAAAACGGCCGGCCAGTAAACATTCCCACATTTCATTCTTCTCCTTACCTCCCCCAAGTGTTTCTGTGGCTGACACAGCCCCTGTGGACAGTAGATGCAGTGCTGGATGCAGCATCTGTGGATGGAGTGGTTGTGCTGATAGTGAAGCAGCAGCGGCGCCACCACGATCACGTCGGCACTGTGGGCCATGGAGTAGCGGAAATCACACAGCTGGCAGTTGTAGCTGGTCACAACTGCCTCTGGGTCGCTGCTGTTTGGATCACCTGAGAGTGAAAACAAAAAAAACGTGTCAAAGTTTGATAAAGAAAAATAATCGATGCAGAGTCTGAAATTCAAATCAAGTTTGATAAAGAAAAAATAATCGATGCAGAGTCTGAAATTCTATCGTGAAAAGTCAAACAGTCGTCGAGGCGAGGCCACTGAAGGCATTCAGGTTAGGAAGTATCATCATCCTTCAATGGTGAGATTCTATTACAATTAATCCTTCCTTTCATAAAAATAGTTGAAAATCCCTTCAAGCACTTCAGCACATTTCATGATCTTTTCTCCAGGTTTATTACCTTGGCTGGTGCTGGAAGGGTTTGATGATGGATCCTTGCGGCTCTTGGAAGTCATGTGATCTCTTTCGCTTCCGTCTCGTCTGCCTCCTCTTTTCCTCTCTCTGTCCAACGCCACAGGTCTAGCGTTGATGGGGCTCATCGCTCTCCCTTGGTCACTATAGGTTTATT